ATGGCAGTGGGAAGGGGTGTGAAAACCTGGCAGGGAAGTTTATCTGCCCTGATACATTTCTATCTCAGCTACTTGAAGAGATATTATCTTGAGTTGGCTGGATTGTAAGAATTTCACATTTTTGGCATGAGCATTAACGTTTTGCATTTATATTGGCTATATATGTCTGTGTGTAAAAGCTGCATGACTATTAGATTAATTATGATCTGCTGGAACCACTTGATATAGGGAAGGATCGTGAAGAAAGCAGCAGTTCACCCCTGTGAATCTGGAAGGGACAGGTATTTTGCATAAGATCCCTATCTGGTGTTGTCTAACACATTTTTTTAATACTTAAACCAACACCCTAAACACCACCATTCCCAGTAATACATAGAAATGTAAGCTATAAAAGTGAATTTTCAAGATACAGGAATTGTCCAGATACAGACAGCTTAAGTTGCCTTGACAATTCTTCTTTGGATCTATTCAGAGTTACTAACAACCCACTCCCCCAACCCCGAAATGTATTTATGATTAATTTCCTGGGAAGCATTCAGGCTTCCGAAGGCTCGTCTCCCAGTCAATCTGACAAGCCCACCAAAGATGGGCTTTGCTGGTGGGGCCAGGGCATGGTAGGAGTTCACTGCTGGCTATCTGTGCTCTAATTTAGCTAATTTAGCCTTAGCTATGCTTTATAATGGCTCACCCAATAAGGTTGATGATGGTGTAGGAACCATTTGACTCCGACAAAGCTAACTCTTGCCAGGGCACAGCTATGCACTTAAAACTTTCATCCTCTATTTTTTACCAGCAGTCCGACTCAGTCTGTGAACCCTTGATGTTCAAGGTATCTACTTACAGAGTACACCTGACCCCATAAACACTCTGTTACTCATTAAAATGATAGAAATGTCCACCAAATGCATTGTGGATTCCAGTGAGGACTCACAGGAGATACAGAGAAGGTTGAAGTTGCTTAGGAAGAATATAGATCTTAGTTCTTTAATGTGGCGATGCGCACATGGAGATGACTTTTGCAGGTATTTTTTTCCTCAGGTAGATATGATATATGAGGCTAATTTTAGCAATTTTATTTTCTCCTCATTTCTTCCATTAGGTGATTCTTCTGGCAAGGGCAGTGATTCACAGCCATAAGCAGTTACTTCATTTTTTTCATAGTAGTTTATGCCTTTTATACATCAGGGAATTTACTCTTCCCCTGATGTTACTTGAGTCACTTCTGGCCTTCGTGCTTGTAGTTCGGAGTATAAAGATGACAGAACGGGATCTTCACACAAATAGGATCTCTCTGCTCTCCAGCTCCAGTGTATAATGCAGTTTTTCCAGATGTGGAAGCATGCCAGAGATACTCCACAAAAGTAAGGATAAGGGAAGGAAGTAGCATCTTCCTAGGAATATCATAAAGAATTCCTGCCTACCACATGCAGATTTTGAGTTTTTGTCAGTCTAACACAAGGAAGACTGTTTGGCAATGCCGTCATGTAAGTGGGCTGTGGACATACAGCCATGGTATCTTAATAACAAAATGGATTAGGGAGAGATGTTTGAACCTGCCTGGTTCACCTTTACCAGGGGTATGATAAAAGTACCATAATCTAAAAATGCTATTTCTAACTTGATACCTGGTGAGCCAAAGAACTTTTCAGCCAGGAAAGAGGCTTACTGGAAACAAGTGTGAATTTAAAACTGTTCAGTATCAGGTATTCTGTGGAATGATACTGTCTGTATTTAGTGGTTGTTTTGGAGCAAGTCACGTTCATGCTAGGTTGTAGCAGGTGGAAGAAAAATATGCGATGCTCAAGGGTCTGAGAATATTCTCCAACCAAGGGAAATTGGCTTTGACAGGTCTGCACCGAGTTCCTCATTTGGAAGCATTGCCAGCCAGAGGGATTAGGAAGTACCAACTTGACCTCTGTGACGTGATCTACATGAGGAACTGTTGCAGTTATGTGCATTTTTAAAAAAACTGTAGGATTTGATAGCTTTTTGAAAAAAGGAATAGATCACAGCTGATGAATACATTTCCTGACCTTTGGCCAAAAAGTAACAATATTTCCACATGTTGTATTATATCATGAGAGATTTTGGGTATTTGAAGCAGCTTGGTTTTCTGTTTCCAGGCAAAATATTGCTTAAAGGAATGTTTGTTCGTTTGCAGTTATGCAAGTGGAATTTGCTCCTTGTTTACCAGGAGCAAATTCAGCCTTTGGAACAAATATTCAATATGGTGAATGGTGTATTGAGGGACAGGAAAAATCAAATGAGATTAGACAGAATAGCTTTTAATACTTGTCTCAAGGGAATGACAGTAAAACTTCTTGCTATAAGCTGAAACCGAGATCTACTGAGAATTTTCTAGTTTAAGAAAGAGACTTGGGTCATTTCTGAGATAGAAACTGGCAGCTGGAACGTGAGTGTTAGGTTTTCAATAGTGTGATTTTTGTCTTTTATGTGACTATTTCAGGACCTTCAAAAATAACCTGAAGTATCCCTGGTTTTTGTTTTTTTTTGAAATGTAGCAGACTTATTTACAGGGCTTTAGTCTGTTGTCTTTTTTTTCTTGCATATGTGATGAAAGAAGGGTACTTGAACAACAGGGGAGTAATTACACTTCTATCTGTTTGGAAAACTTTAACACACTATCGGGTGCTGCTATCGGACTTAGTGGTAATTTGCCCTTAGTAACTAAGTGAAGAAAATGTGGGCTTCATATTTGTTTTAATTGGATTATTATTAAAATAGTGATGATAATGAAACTGACAGTTCAAAGGTCAGTTTGGTGTATTTGTCTTTTTGCTGCATTTTTTTTCCGTCAGTCTTCTATTCCTTAATAGCTAACTTGATACAAAGAGAAAAAAAAAGCTGTGAACTTCTCATTCTTTAAGGAAAAAAAAATAAAAAAAAACTTTCCAAAATTGTAGTAATTGCTACTATTTCTGTTCGCCATGACCATTCTCCCAAGAGATGAGCCTAAAAGAAATTCCTTGAACCTGAAACATCCTGAGTTCTGCCAAAGTTCATATAGGGGTCTGCACACAGAGTTTTGTGGCTCAGATCCACTTCTAATTTTTCCCCATTGTTGGCTCATGGATTGCTGCTTAAATCTGAAAAGCAATTCTGTAATTATTTGGTGCGGAAGCGTTCATGGGAACAAAAGCAATAATCTTATTATCGTAATGGTAATTTTATTATGCTAGATCTTTTCCTATTTTATGAAACTTATGAATTATTCAGTTTTCCACTTGCTCTGCGCATACTTTTTGTAGTTTTGGTTTGATTTCTCAATCTATAAATCCAATCATGCTGATGATAATGGACTGTTCACTATTTCATTAGACAGCAGAGTTGTTATCCTAAACAAATAAAAAGCAATAGCTGTAGCTTCTGGGTTCTTGTAGAAGCAAAGCAACCTATTCTGAGGAAAAAAAATGATGACCTATTTCCTTTTATGCAAATTATTCTTGTAAAGGAAGAAAGGAACATAGAAATCAAGGGTAAAATCTTCCTTCTGTAAATTAAACAAAATCCATGGAATTTCTCCAGGAAATAGTCTTAATGAAAAATATACCTTATGCATGCTATTGGTAACAGCTGATAAAAGGAAAACAGAACAATTATTGACTGAGAAATAGTAATTATTTTTTTTCCAAATTTTTTTTCTATTCTTATAGTCGAGCATGACTTTGATTAAAAGGGGAAATACCTAAGTAATCCCTCTTGCTCAGTCTTCCAGTCAGTTCCATGTGCCTTTCCTCCAAATGGCTGATGCCCAGCACATCTTATGCAGTCCCAAAGCTAGGCTTGCCACTGTCTTCTCTGGCTTAGGTGCCTCTCCAACTGTTTTTTCACTGTGTCTGGCAATTTTCCGTTTTATGTTACTTTCTGCTTTGCTGATATTGCTGATATTTAATGTCATCTTTACATGTGTGCCAAAATAGTTGTAACAAATTATAAGCTTTTTAAAGTTACTGTATTCAATATAGGAGGAGAAAAAAAACCCTCTGCTGTTCTCCTCTCAGTTTACATCCCAACTGTTCTCCATTTTCATCTTGCAGTGTAACAAAAGACTTTACAGTTTGTTCCTCCTTAGTTCTTCCAAACTAAAAATGACTTGTCTTATTTAATGCTATACCACTGTTCTCGTGCTATGTAAAGATGGGTTCAAGTCAGGGATTCAAGTCATTTCTCTTTGAACTTGGAGGAAATTTGACCCAACCTGAATCTAGACTAAGCCTGCAGATGTGATGGATAGCTGTCCAAGTGGAGTGTAATCCGAACATTTTGCCTGTGGCCCATCTCTAAATTAGGAGTTATTTTGCCTGCTGATTCTCTCTTAGTTGAAGCTTTTAATTGAGACTTGTGGTCCAAAGACATGGAGCACTCTTGCATTTCAGAGACCTAATGTAAGAGAAGTTCTTTCTTTTCCCCCCCATAATTTTGTAATTAAAAGACATTGCCACATCATTGCAATTAACAGCTTGATGCAGACATTGTAAGAAATAAGATTTCCTATTGACCGTCCCTTTCTAGCAGCTCTGCAGTGAATGCTGGTGCCAGGTTCCATATGGGTAAGTTTCAGAAGAAGAATTTTTCTTTCTGACAAAGAAAATTGAGAAAGACACTGTGGGCCAGGATTTTCCAGATGCCTCCTGTCACAGAGGAAAACCTGTGTGGGCTATATCGACTTGAAAATGAAAGGCGATTGCTTAATCAGTGAACCAGGGGAAGAGGAAACTACCAGGTGATTCATATCGATGTTTAGTAGTGGGCGAGGGGAGGGAGATTTCTAAGTGAAAGCAGAGTGCTCAATGCATGTAAAATGCTGTATTGCTGTTATAAAACTCTGAATAATTTGTTTTTGTTCTGTCTGTCTTCTCTCTCTTCTGGACTTGGCCGGGCCATGTACAAATCCCAATCATTCAACAGTACTGGAGAGTAGATAGTATTTACCTCAATAATGGTAGTTTCTTTTCGATTCTTTTTAACTCTCAATTCAGATGACGGTTCGAAGCCAACGCCTACCATGGAAACCCAGCCTATTTTTGATGGAGAAGGTAAGAGCATCCTTTAAACAACAAAAACAAAACCTATGCTACTTTCCTGTCTTTTTTTTTTTATTGTGAATTTATGGCTCAAACACTTTCTTTATCTGGCAAAGCAGAAAAGCCTGTGAATCTCGTAATTTGCCCACGTTTAACAGTGCTCTTGGGACCTCTGGCATTTTCCCAAAACCTTTTGCATTTTCCCCTTTCTCTGGAATCTAACACCAATTGAGCAGAATCTTGAGATAACTTTGGAGGAAAAGGTGTCTTCAGTAAGAAATGCACATTGAATCAGAAATGGCAGCTTCCTCTTCTCTGTCCATACCTCCTCACTCTCTCCATCCTTATGATCATGACGCTCAGAGTTTCATAACCTTTACAATGCACAACAGCTTCACCGAAGGGGGGAAGTGCTAAACCACAGCTTGTGAATGTTGACTTGGAAGAAAATTGCTGTGAGGTTTCTTTATTTAGCAATTACTTTCATTGACGCACATGCTATTTAAGCAAATGAAGTCAGTGTCCTAAGCCCACTTAATTCATGGCCCACCAAGGCAGTTCCTTCTCAAATGGCTAATCTTGTGATTGTATTGTTTTGGAGAAGGAATATTGGAACTCAGTCTATTGGAAGCTTTGAAACAAGGATAAAATAGCTATAATCATATGGGGTTTCCATTTTTTTTCAGTGTGCAGACTTAAAAACGTGCACTGGTGGAAATACTGGTCTTAAGGTAGTAGATGGGCCTGTTAGCTGTTGGTTAGATTTTGCATACTGCTTAGAACTGCAGCTTTTCTCCAAGTTTAAACCCACTTCCATTATAATTATTATTCCATTATAATAAAGATAAAGACTAAAACTGAAATACTGTGTGACCTCCTTGGAATTATGGACTTTATGGGAGTGGAGGAAAAACTATTCATTTTAGTACTGCAGCACTGTGTTCAACATTTCTTTTAAAACTGGGTCAAAGGCAGAAATGGAGACTACTAAGCAAGAGTAAGTGGTGCTGTTTGTACCTGCAGCCTTCTTGGAAAAACAGGTGATGGAGTAGATTTTTGTTGTTAAAATAAGCTAATTTAATAGCAAAGATGCTGTATCACTTCCATTTAGGGATTATAGGTGTGTAAGAGTCATAAGCTTTAAGAAACAAAACAAAACTCTCAGAGCAAACAGCAGCGTTCCCACATAACTAAACAGAGGAGACTAAAGCCTAGTTCACTATCTCTTCTTTATATCAAAAGAAAGTTCCTCCTGGCAGCATGCTGATGTTGTGTTAAATGGCTCTTTGTAATCACAGCATGCTTTTGGCCTTTACATTTTCCCCATAGACTGAAAGGAAAGAACGTATGAGTAAAATGCAAGAGTTTCTTAACCTGGTTAATACAGCCCATTCAGAAGCTCCTAGGAAAGATTCAACATTTTGGTCTTTCAAATATAACTGGGCACAGTCCTTGAGGAAAAACTATAGTTAGTAGGTGTTTTGTGGCCCATCTGGTGACATGGAGAATCTAAAAATATCATGTTTTCTCCTACGAAAAACACTGTCAGTGTCAATTTTGCATTTAAGTGTAGCTAAAACCATATATGACAAAGGGGCTTGGGCTGTACCACAAAAAATTGCCTCTCACCAAGAGTCTTGCAGTGTAGTATACAAAACTTTATCTCCTAGGCTTTTAGTGAGAATGACTAAGACTTCTAATATTTGCAATATCCCTTACGGGACTTGGACGAAGAGAACATGATGCTGACAGGCAGGGGAGTAGAGCACTAATGAGTATCCTATGATATGTTAGTCACTGTAGTTTTGTCATCCCGTTTAGTAAAATAGGGCTTACTAGATTTCAGCAAGTATTGTAGAAGTAAGCACAAGAAAATCCTCTTGGAGTCAGCCCAAAGGCTTGCAACCCACTACAGTTGGAGAATACTGTCTCTAGTGGTTGCTCAAACAAGTACATCAGAAATAGTGAGAAAAGCGTTTAGATGAGAAGTCAGGCAGGGGAGGAGGAGGGTGTACTAGCAACCTTCCAGTACCTGCAAGGATGTTGTGGAGAAGGTGGAGCCAGGCTCTTCACAGCAGTGCATAATAGGAGGACAAGAGATAACAGCCATACATTGAAATGAGAGTCTTGGAGTGGGTATAAGGAAAAAGGCCTTCACCATGGAGACAGTCATGTAGTCAACCAGGCTGTCCAGAGAGCTGCTGCTACTGCTTTGCTTTGCATAGACTGGGTAAAGCCACAAGCAGCTCCATCTGAGCTCATAGCTGACCCTGTCTTGAGCAGGAGGTGGGTCTAGATGACCTCAGGGGGTCATCCTCAATAGTCCTTTGATGCTAGCTGAGCAAGCATGTCATGCCTCTCTAGAGTACTCTTCCAGCTTTTTGGGTAGGCCTTCATGAGAAATGGCTTGTAAACGCTGTCTGGCACAAATGTCAGGTAACAGAAAAGGGCAAAACAGTTATCCATTCACCTGTCGGGTCTGGACTGTTCAGATGTTTGAAGGAGTTAATATCCAAGTCCCATTCAGTTTCAGTGGGTCTGAGGTATCTGTTGGGCTCCTAAAAATCCATGTATTCAAAGCCAAGCAACCAGGATAGAGCTGATAGCTAGAAGAATGGATATATATATATATTTTGATGCTTTGTTTTTGGTTGCCTCACTTAAGTACAAGGGGCTGTTTAAGTGTGTGGTGCCTCTTGGAGCTCAGTGACCCTAAGAGTAGGTCTTGTCTTTCTCATGTTTTCACCAACACTAGAGGATAACCAAAATCCAAATTTTGACAGGCATTCCTCTCCCACTCAGCCTCCTCCCTGAGGGCCTAACAGAGCAGTAGCAGAGCCAGAAATAATGTAGATCAGATAACCTAAACTCTCCTGTCCAGGGCTTAAATCATAAAGCAGCCATTTATTCAAGAATTATATCCTTTCATTACAGTGCAAATCTCAGTGTTTATAGTGATCCTTATATTAGGGTATGATTCTTCCCTAAAGAAGAGTATTTTATTAATGGTCCTTTCTATGGTTTTAAATAATTAGAGGGGGGAAAAAAATCAGTTTTATTCCCTGCTGCAGTTCTTAACTGTTTTCTTTGGATTCATGCTCTATTTTGTTTCAATGTGCAAGTCATACTCATTTCCTAAGGCCATAGCTTCTTTAAAGAGCTCTTTTTGGTAAACTTCACCTCCTTTTGCACTGAGCATCTATTATTTCCAAAGATTTGCTGTTTGGAGGAGTAATTAATCTAGATGGCTTCTCTGTATCCAGCAAATGTCCAGGTTAACTGCCTGGAAAATACATTTTAATGTCAAATCTCAAAGGGTTAGTTTTTTCCCTCCAAAAGGCACAAAGTATATAGGGGTGTGTATGTGTGTGTGTTTGTAGGAGCAAGTCATGGTAAAATAGTGTGGTGAAACCTACAGATAAGACAGTTATCCTTAAGCAACCTTTTACAAATGCTGGTATATCAAAGCTCAACTGATATTTACATAGACATTAAACTATGTCCTGAATATAGTTACAGTAATGCCCAAGATCCATGAAGCTGAAAATATTTAGGAGAGAACAAAAAGCTTAGTCTTGCTTTGTTCACTTAAAATATAATGTATAGTCAATGTCTCTTGTACTCAGTCAGCTTCTGCCTTGCTGAGCACATCCCTGTAAATGCCAACAAGGGAGCAGAAAAGCTCTTGTAAAAACTTCTTACAAGAATGTCTTAAGACAAACTCCAGGTTCTAGTATTTAAAATGTGCTTCTGGGAACTGAAAATGTTTTGGTTTAAAAATATCCATGTTCACAGTGTCCCCTTATGAGTTCTAGTCCATGGTATCAAGTACCCCTTGGCCCAGTTTCTATCCGAATGGTGATGTTGTGTCACGTATTTAAGGACTTGCTAAAGACAGGTTCTGCTGTGTTTTGAATTTGATTGTAACACTTCAGAGTAGGAGCTTTAAGCACTGCTTTCACAAATTTATTTTGGGATGTGTTGGTTGTAGTGCATTAGACAGGCTTTTTTGACCACAATTTATTTCTTTAACAGGCTTCCTTTTAAGTGTTTCCAACAATATCCTCATTTCTCTGCCTGTTTATTTTGAGTTTTGTTGTAGTTTGTTTTAGGGAACTGAAAAAGCTGTGGCCAGCTTTTCTTGGTCTGCTAAGGCAATATTTAAGATCCAAAATGACTTTTAAAATCTGATTTTCATGTCTTTGGGTGGAATTCATTATATACTATAATACACCACAGAATTATTTTTATTTATTTTTACTTATTATATTATTTAGTCTTGAGGAGAAAGGTTTGGAAATTTAGCTGGAAAATGGAAGGGGAAGAGGAGAATAAAAATGTTGATGAGGAAGATGGTGAGATAACTTTGATAAGTTAAAATGGCTCATAAGAGATGGAAGATGTGACCTGGGGGAGTATGTCTGGTATCTCCAAAGACAGTGCATCAGTTAATGCACAATGTGTCAAATGCCTTGTCCTCACAAGTAGCAGCCGCAGGTAGTCACTGGATGCTTTAGTTTGTCTAAGGCACTTGTTTTTTGTCTTTCAGAAATCACAGCTCCCACCCTTTGGATTAAGCACTTGGTCATCAAAGATTCCAAACTGAACAGTTCCAGTATAAGGAATTCAGGTAATGCTCCATGCAGAAGAGGGGGGAAAGAAAAGTTTTGTTTTTATTAGGCTGTGGCGACTCACTATCTGTTCTTGTTTCATTCATTCTTCGCTGCAGCTGTCGTGCTGCTTTTACAGTTATGCAGAGCTTGAGATGCCAGCCATGGAACAATCTTGACTAGTGTCTGTCTCTGTGCTCAAAATGTGCAGATGTGTAAAGGAGCAGGATTTCTGTCTCCCCAAACCAGAACTAGGGAAGCTCTAAATTACTCACTTGATAATTCATCTTTATCCTGTCTGTTTCTGCTGTTCTGCTGTCTTTCATGGACACTTAAAGTGATGCCCTTCTGAGACCAACTGTAGTGCATTGCATATGGCTGAGAGATGGGCAGAAGAACAAATGTAGAGGGGCTTGTTTTCTAGTAACTTCAAGGTTCTTTGGTACAGAGGATATTTTTGATGCAGAAAAGACTGGATTATTTCACAAGAGAAAGTACTTATTTCTGGTCCTTGTTGAACACCGAGAATTGAATTCTTGTGGGTAATAGAACAGGCAAGGGAAGACCCAACATAGAAAGATCATAGATATGAGTAAATGGGGGAGAAGGGAGCAGCAAAATGAGAAATTAAGATGCAAAGTTTGAGATTGGAGACAAGGGGGACACTGAAATCACACACACACTCACAAAAAGGAAGAATGTGAAGACAAAGAGGTTCTGAAGTATGTTTTTCATTTGCTTTTAAATATAGTGGAAGAAAGCAAGAAAGTAGAAGGGATGTTAGAAAGGAGGAAATTGTCTGAAAATGCCATGGGTTTGCTTTAAGGTTTGAATAGGAGCTGTTGCCACTCCATGCATTTTATGAAATAATATATGCCGGGAATAATGACTGTGCCAACTAGCCTCCATAACAGGTAAACTGTGATAGCATAAAGTACCTGATCTTATTCTTGGATTACCAGAGATCCCTCAATAATTCTCTTAACTTCCCTATGCCCCTTTCTCACTGTGGAGTAAAATTAGTGATAGGTTAGGTGAGATTGTTGTCATGTTGCAAGGTTAAGAGCTCCCAGTTGGAGATCATCACTGCACAGACCCCTGTTTCTAGCCACTGCCTATAGTGACTTGCCTAGTGACACTTTTTGCAGCAGAGTGGTCTGTGCAGGAACTGCCAGTGGGGGCCATCTAGAAACTTCAGATGATGTAGGAGTATCTGCATTCATCATCAGGAGCCTTTTTCACACTGAGTAAATGAAACTTGTTTCTTGTGAGCTGAAGGGGCAACCACTTTGCAAACTAAGGGTTAGAATTTCTTAATAAAATCCTGTCATTTTGGCCCTGCCTGTCTGAGACCAACTTTCCTTCTTATGTAGTAAACTAGGTAGTTGCAATGGAAATAAGAGTTTCCCAGATCTTATTTCTAGAAGGCTACAAAGAGACTAGACAGTGCAGAGAGTCTTTGACTTAAGAGCCCCTCTCCCAGCCTTCCTTGCTTGGAAAGAGCCAAGATAGGGTGGCTTTCATGCTGTAAATGTTTGACTGACTTGGTCAAGCCTTTTGTCAGAAAGCTGCCTCATGTAAGCAGGATTTCTGTTTGTGGAAGACATCATTTAGGAAGTTGAATTTTGCCCACTTTATTTTCAATTAGTTATATGTCCTTTCTGGGAATGAAACAAGACAAACCCAGAGTACATGATGTTTTGGAAAATTCAAAAGTTCGGTAAGAGATGGTTTCTCCAGCAAGCTAAAATGAACTGTTTGCTTCAGCTGACTTGATTTTGCTTAGTGCCCTGGTAGACACTTTTGCTGTGGTACCTGATTAAAAGATTAAGTTGCAAATTTTAGGTCAGAATTTTCATATTCTGCCATAAAAATATGCAGCCCTCTCTTTCTTAAAATCAGTTATTGATATCAAGAAATGCTGCCTCATCCAAATGGGGAAGCTGATGTGAGATGTGGTTTCTTTTAACCAGCTAAGCCTTGTCCCCTTGCAAGTATCTTCCATTCCTGACTCTTCCTGCATATGGTAAAGACAATGTAGATGGATGGGATTGAACAACCAAAATCTTTCAAATGTTTGAAAGTTCTGAACTGCCCGTATTTTAATTGAAGATGATAAAACACCTGTTGTTAGATGGGCATGCAAATTAGTAGGTTTAATTACTTTGACCCTTAGCAGTTTGAAATCTTAAAGCCTAGCATGTTTATGATTTTTTCGTTTATTTTTAAAGGGTTAAGCTAAGTTTTACTAGCACGGAGCTGGATTTTTGTTTTGATATTCACTCTGCGCTCTCTCTCTCTCTGCTCTTGGCTGAGAGATATGTGGTGCTTCAGTGGATGCCTTTAACCTTAGAGTGAGTTATCTCATAACCATCCATTACAAGGAGATGTTTTTAGCTGCTTTTAGGTAGAGCTTGTGTTTTGTCATTGAGTACTCCCTGAAGAAAAGAGAGCAAGGGAAAGGAGCTGGGAAGCACTTCAAACCTCTAACTCTCCCGAAGAAAGGCAAACAAAGTCACTGTGTTTCCCAGGTGGTTCATGCCCCTACACAACAAGGCTTCAAGCCTTGTCCTGTGTCTGTGTTGTATCTGTTACATGCCAAACAAGTGCTGGCTGTTATCTGAAGGGAGTAAGGAAGTTGAGGAAAGATCTGAAGGATTAGTTGCATCTTTTTAGGTAGTAGTCTGATGGACATGGTCCCTATTCACTAACTGGGATACCAGAGCTGAAAGTCAACTTCTTATTTCCTATATCCCTTCAGAGTGAACCAACCTGCAAATAGCCAAGCATTGCAGAGCTGCTGAGTTCTAGCACCCCTGCATCATCCCGATTAAAATATCCCATCTTGCTTGTGCAATCTCTATCTCACAACAGTTGCATTTGAGAGCTGTGTCCTGTTGTCAAATTAGCGTTGACAGCAGTAAGGAGGTTATCCTGAAACAGCCTTCTCTTGTGGAGCATTTACATTTGCTTGGCATATGTAAATACTAATTAAGCTAGAGATCAGGAAAATTAGAATGACTATCCTGGTGATTAGAGCTCTTGGCTGAGAATCCATATGCCTCCAGCCATTTTGTCAGTGATTCTTTACATGCCGAGTAAAATAACATTGCTAGGAGGAATTGCTAGTGCTGTTGTGCTAGTCCATCTTGTGGAATGATGATTAGATCACGTTACTGGTGGGGTGAAATGCAGGTTCAAATCCTCTCGGGCTGAGGCTGGAATCAAACATGTAAAGATGCTACAACATCTGGACTCCTGAGTAGCAGAAGAGTTGGTATTCTTCTACACTTAAACTAAGTTGTTTGCTTTTTTTGTGAATTTTACAAGAACCCAAAAGTCAATATTTCTTTTCATGACATGTAAAAGACCTAGATCAAAACAAATACTTCGTTTGCTATGGCTCAGTGACAAAAATGTTAGATGATGGTTTGTTTTGAATTGATTTCCACCTTCCCTAAACACACACAAACACCTCAAACTAAGCCTGTTGTTCAGTGCTGCCCTCTGAAATGTGTTAATTCTTTCTAACACTACCAAAGCAGAGAGAGAGAGAAGTGACCTTTGCAATGGCCATTCTCTAATTGGCATGGTTAGGAAATCTTTTCATACTGTATGTAAAAATACTTCAACCTGTTTCTTTTCTACCTTTCCCCTTCTCCACAACATATTCCTGCCTGGAACAGTTCAAGTCATTATTATGGTACAGTTCTTATTGCAGGGAAACACTTGATAATCCATTCTGCTTCCAAGAAAATAAATCCACTGACTGCCTGTTTGGGAGTGCCCATCTGCACTGAGGAATCCATGGTTGTTCCTCATTTCCGGATTTGGGCTATCTCCAAATCCATTTGTGCTACTAAGTGATTTGGTTTTGTTTAGCAAGAGGTTCCAGTCTGTATCCAGCTTTCCCTGACAAACTGTAAGAAAACCACAGAGTGATGTAATGAGCTCATGCATGGAAAAATAAACAGCTCTAGAGAAACCAGCAGTAGCAGCCTCACGTAAATATTCTGCAGTCACTGGGGTTTTGAACATGACGTTATTGAAAAGGAAGAATGAGTAATATATTAAGGTTAGCAGCTGAAGACAGGTTTGTGTGCGCCTAGTTTTTTTTTTTAAAAGAAGCTGTTTATTTCAAAATCCTGCCCATTGAAAGGGGACCAGCTGTACGTGGGCTATCTGGTCGCCTCTGGTACCCAAACACCGCATACGCATCTCCTGTGACAACTTTCCAGTGACAAAAGTTTTTGCTGTCTGAAGCTCCTGCTGCACAGAGCTGGAAGTGAGCTTTGAAAATAGGAATGGTGGCATTCATATTTCTGTAACTTAATTCACTTAAGTCTTCTCAAAGAGAGAAACAGCTTGAAAATTGCATGTATGTTTATGTGCATTAAGAGCATGACATTGCAGTTTCTCTCCAAAGATCTCCCTACTGAGGCAAGATGTGATTATACCCAGCATACTGCCAGGACCCGGATTCTCTGGTTTATCTATTCTCATCTTTTCTTTATAGAGATTCCCCCCCCACTTTTTTTTTTCTCCCCTCAAGTGGAGGGCCATTTCTCACCTGTCTTTATTCCTCCTTGTTTTTGCCTCATCCCTGAGCTGTCCTATCCTCCTCATAGGACACACAACTGCTCATGTCACTATTTAAAGACATATCAGACCATGGGTTTCTGCTTTCTGTTGTTACTACAGTGATTGTGTTGGTTCCAAATTTTATGGCTGTCTCCTATGCCAACTGTTAATTTTATCATCAAAATTATAACAGGATCATAGGTTCTTCCCTAAAATCTTCCCTAAAAACTGCTGCTTAGCACAACTTGCACCAGCAGTTGGATGAAATGGGTGGAGGCAAAGGCAATTTCACGTTAGCAGAAAAGGAGGATGAGAAGAGGTAGCTAGGTGTAAATGTGATCTGACATCTAAATATGGCATTATAGTGACATTGGAAATGAAGAATTTTGATGTATGGGGATGACATGTTACTGCAGATTGCAGTCCCCCCTGGTGAACA